AATTTTTCAGTTATTTAGGTCCATTACTTTTTCTTCCTCAAAAATGTTTTTTGGATCTGCATCTTGGTCATTTGTTTGTGTTATTCTCTTTTGTTTGTTTGTGTGAGCTAAAATTGTCTATTGTCTTTGGGACATGGTGGTATTTTCGTATTTGTATGTAAGTGGAAATTGTATGTTGATGTGTTCTTAGGCTTTCATCAACTGTCTCCTGTGGGTATAGTGTGTGCACTTTTCTCCATTTGTACCACTCAGTTTAGGGTGGGTATTGACTCTTGCCCAGTTGGTAGGGCCACAAAGGACAGTCTTTAATTAAAGATGAAAAATTACCTGAAGTACTAGAGTCACTCAAAATCTTAAATATTTTTTTCAGTTTGGGATGGTAAGTGGCTCAAAGTTCAAGGTAATTTTCCAGTTCTGGCTGAAACTCACTCATGATAATTATAATTTTATTATAGCAAAAAGTATATAAATAAATGCATAAGACAAGGGGGAGTTTCCAACATGGAGCTTCCATGTCTCCCACATCACTGATGTCTTTCACTAACCAAAAAGCCCCAAAATGTTTTAAGAGAGCAATACACCCTTGACAGTTCCTTTTCCACCAAAGTAGACAATGCTGCTTCAGGAAAATAACTTGTAACCATTCTGCTTTCCTTGCACAAATTATCCATTCCAACTTCTAAAATACCTAGTGACCTTGTAGCTTTCTGGTTAAGAAGAAATAAAGGAACTAAATTTAGTCTTGTGTTAAAAATCTTGGAAGGATATCACAATAATCATGTGTGACTTCATTTAAGTAACGTTTTCAATTCTGCCCTAAAGACATCTAGAAGAAAGTTGGGTCTTGGCCGAAAGAAATACACCAGAGGTCAAGTTTAATACTTAAAAGAGAGAAGAACAAATCAGACCCTAAGGAAAGAAGGCACTATGTTGAGCTCCATGGAGGAAAGAGAAATTAGTCCATTTTGGTCTGTAGGGGCAATTTATGCTTACAGCAGGAAGGGAAGAATTTGGCAGTGAGAGAAGACACAGGATTGTGGTCTCATTTTGATCCTTATGTATGAGGAGGCCTACCTTCCCTGATGACCAGAGAACAAGCAGAGCTTGAGCCAAAGCCAGTGTGGCACAGAGGTTAATTGTTCCAGAGTTGGATTCTGGCCACCTGGGCTTGAAGCTTGACTCCTCTACATATGAGCTTTGTGATCAGAGTAACAATTTACCTGAGCTTCAGCTTCTTTCCCCAAGAAATGAAGATCAAGATATCTTTCTTTTTGTAATGCCTTTAGCATAGTACCTGGCACAAAGCTAGTAGTCCCTAATTGTCAGGTATCATTATTAGGCCAAGGGAGTTCTTCAGAAGGAAGAAAAAAAACCCAAACAACTAAATCTAAACATTTGTTCTTTGTTCTTGAGAGTCTTTTCCATGCTAAACCTACTCAACAATTAAGGAAGAAGAGCCATGTGGTTTACCCACTTGATAAAATCTTTGCAGCTATTAAACATTTGAACAAGGTATACTCTGTTGCAATGTGGCTGCTTCTGAAGGACAGAGAGACAGGAGAAATGGTCCTTGTGCCAACTGCTTTGTTGTCGTTGTTAGGTGCCATTGAGTTGGTACTGACCCATAGCGACCTTATGCACAGCAGAATGAAACATTGCCTGATCCTGGGCCAACCTCACTAT